AACCCCGTGTTTGCCTACTGGTGGTGGTCAGAGGGCCCGGTGGCGCCAGTGTCCGGCAGCCTCGCCTCTGTCAGTGCGCCCCAGGGTGTCTGTGGCTACAACGTAGCTGCCATTGCCAGTGTGTGTTTACACAACTACATTCACGCCTCAAAATATCTTAAACGTTTATTTTGTGACCCAGACTTTTGCGAGATCCCGAGTTTGTTTTGCGAGATCTCGCAAAAGTTCATCATAATTTTTTTTCTCCCATGTCCCCTGCGGGGCTCCGTAGTTAATACATTGAATCATTAGTTATTAATCTCTGTCTCTCTTCCACAGCTGTCTTTATGCTGTCTTCCTTCTCTCACCCCAACTGGTCGCAGCAGATGTTGTATGTTATGTTGAAAATTGAATTGATGAATCAATGATTGATGGTTGACGTATGGATGAATGGAACAAATGACGGATGGATGTTGATAAATGGATGAAAGGTTGAGAGAGGGAGGAATAATGGATAGATGAATGACAGATGATACAAGATTGGATTATTGCTGATGGATGGTTGAATGACCGATGAATAGATGAAGGATGAAAAAATGATGGATGAATGCTGACCTTTTACTTCCTTCCTCAGTGACTGTCATGAATCCACCAGCTGGTCTGAGGGCAGGTCCAAAACCAGTTCCTCTACCAGCTCACCTGAGGCCTTAATCACATGTAAAGAAGGCTCCACTAAGGAAATGGGGCTTACTCAAGAGGGGGAGGGGCCGAAGAGATCCAGCAGGTCCAGCAGGTGAGATGACCTCATCAAAACGTATTGGCAGTCAGACCTGAGCTTTCCAGTCCACCCATCACTGCAAATTAAAAGTTATTAAGAATCAGAGAAGAGAGGCTTTTCAGGAGAAACTGTTAAATGCTCAGTTTCTGTGGCAGATCTGCCATCTGATTCTACCCGGGAACTCAATGCAGTGTTGAAGTCTTTATATTCAGCATCTAAATGAATGTTAAAGTCACCTACTATAATCTGAAGTGAAACCTGTGGCCAAGTATGAACAATTTGTTGATCAAATATTGATCCATGTCCTCTGTTATTCCTACGCGTAATGCACTTTCCCGCTACGCCGTGCAAAGCTCTGTGACGTACCAAAAGAAACAAAGTTCAACCACACGATGAAGGAAAACATTCTGTTTTTCACCCAGGGACCTCCAGAGACTTTTCAAAGGCTCTGTGGGGGGAGGACGCACTCTCACTAGTCGGGATAGTTACAAAGCCTTCTTCTTCATGAACGAGCAATACATTTTATTAAACATTTGAACATAATACAACGCAGACTCTGGTACAGGATATAGAGTCAGAAAGATATATGTTTTGACATGGAACAGGCGAATGTAGAGCGCAGCGGCCAGCACAGCAAAAGTTTGGCCCTTGGCTCCAGTGAGCGGTTAGCGCAGCGCACACCACGTCATTTTTACCCAGCTCTTTCAGTTTTTTATATTTTGGTGTATTTCTATAGTATTGATTATCATTCTAGATTAAGTTCAGTGTCTGTCTGTTTCTTGTTTCCTGTTTTACTTTGGAGGTTCGTGTCTGGTGTCAGTGCGTTCGGTTTATGTTTCCCCTGTCTCGTCAGCTGTGATTTCTCCCAGGTGTGTTCCCCTCCTGTCTCTCATCCCTTGATTACTGCCGTGTGTATTTTAGCCCTGTGTTTCCTTTGTTCCCTGTCGCGTCATTAATGTCTACTCACCCTCAATCTATGCTCTGTGTTTCGGTCCCTGTTTATCTGCCTGTTAGTTTATATTTTCCCAGTGTAGTTAGTCTGCTGTTTATCTGCAACCTGCAAATAAAACTGTTTACTTTGAGTTCAACTTCGCCTCACTGAATCCTGCATTTTGGGTCCTTCCCCCCTGTAACCTGAAGTGAATGCAACAGAGGTTCCATGCCCAAATTTAACTTAAGCGCCAGCAAGGCGTCAGTAAAGTTTTGTTCAGCCCCAGAGTCAATCAGAGCTCTAAGGGACTGAGTCTTGAGTTTCACTGTTAATTTTGCTGCAATCATGAGACGTGGAGGAGACCGTGAACAGGAGACCTCGCTCACCCGTACTCTCTTTTCTACTGGTGGGTGTGGTCTTTTGGCAGAGCCGAACAAACAGTGGCAACATGGCCCTTGCGGCCGGAGTAAAATCACTCCCCGGCCCTCCACCACTGATGCCACTCCTCGGGTGAGAGTCTGGAACAACCCAGTTGCATGGGTTGTTCGCTCTCTTCCACACTGTCCGACACCTGATTGCCTCCGCTACCAGTTGCGCCTCCCCCCAGCGCCATCTCCGTGCAACCCAGAGGCCTCTGGGTAATGTACAGGGTGGGCCATTTATATGGATACACCGTAATAACATGGGAATGGTTGGTGATATTAAAGTCCTGTTTGTGGCACATTAGCATATGTGAGGGGGCAAACTCCTCAAGATGGGCGGTGACCATGGTGGCCATTTAGAAGTCGGCCATCTTGGATACAACTTTTGCTTTTTCAATAGGAAGAGAGTCATGTGACACATCAAACTTATTGGTAATGTCACAAGAAAAACAATGGTGTGCTTGGTTTCAACGCAACTTTATTCTTTCATGAGTTATTTACAAGTTTCTCTTTGTTCACAGCCATTGACATGTTGAAGAGGTTAACACGTGAGGAGCGGATCGAAATTGTGTTGATATCTGGTGAACGCAGTAACCGGGTCATTGCAGCAGATTTCAATGCATGACACCCTACGAGACCACCCATCTCCCATGCTACAGTCAGCAAACTGCTTGCTAAGTTTCGTGAAACTGGTTCAGTGTTGGATTTGCCAAAATGTGGACGCAAGAAAACTGTGACTAATGAAGAAACATCAGTGGCTGTCCTAGCTTCATTCAGCAAGATCCCACAGCGTAGCACTCGCCGCATGTCACTGGAGAGTGGCATTAGTCCAACATCCCTTCGACGGATATTAGCTACTCACAAATGGCACCCTTACGAACTCCAGCTACTGCAGCATCTCAGCGAGGATGACCCAGATCGGTGCACAGAATTTGCAGAATGGGCAAAACAAAAACTGGAACAGGACCCTCAGTTCACGCAGAAGATTTTGTTTGTGATGAGGCAAACTTTTATGTGAATGGTGAAGTTAACAAAACCACTGCTATTGGCCCAACACTATCCGACACTGGATGGATCCCTCCAAGACTGTTGGACCAACAAAAGTGATGGTATATGGGGTACAACGATAGTGGGTCCATTCTTCATCAATGGAAACCTCAAGGCCACTGGATATTTGAACTTGCTACATGATGATGTGTTTCCCTCTTTATGCACTGAAGCTGGCACGTTCCCTGAGTTTTTGCAGCAAGATGGACAATGACCCGGTTACTGCGTTCACCAGATATCAACACAGTTTCGATCCGCTCCTCACGTGTTAACCTTCAACATGTCAATGGCTGTGAACAAAGAGAAACTTGTAAATAACTCATGAAAGAATAAAGTTACGTTGAAACCAAGCACACCATTGTTTTTCTTGTGACATTACCAATAAGTTTGATGTGTCACATGGCCCTCTTCCTATTGAAAAAACAAAAGTTGTATCCAAGATGGCCGACTTCTAAATGGCCATCATGGTCACCGCCCATCTTGAGGAGTTTGCCCCCTCACATATACTAATGTGCCACAAACAGGACTTTAATATCACCAACCATTCCCATGTTATTACGGTGTATCCATATAAATGGCCCACCCTGTAGTTTCCAGCTCCCTGATGCGCCTGTAGACACTCGTCCACCTTCACACACAGTGTAATCACATCAGAAAGACTTTTAGGCACTTCCTCATCACCAATGTTCCCTCTAAGCTGTGCACGTGCGCAATTGCGCACTGCTGGCACGCTCTATGCGCACAGAAAATCTGCGTTGCGCACACAAAAAAAAAATCTCACCTGAATTGAAATTAAAATTAAAACAATTCTGTTTTGCAGTGTCAGTCAGTGACTGGCTGCTCCCGTATGCCACCTTAGCCCATAGTCCAGCCAATGATGCGATTCACATTCGTATATACGCAGCCAATCAACGTGGTTGACAGCGTCCTTATGTGCCGACACCGGTGTTTTAGCTGGCAAAGCGGCTGATGTGGAGTGAAGCCACGTTAATGACAACGTGTACAACCATTGGAGATGTGAGCAGGACAGACGGAACAATTGACGGAAAAAGTGTGGACTTTATACCAGTTTTTAAATTGTGTTGATCGGCCACGTAAAACCAGAGTTATGATAAAATATCTGCAATGTTTGGTTTTCTTCCTGAATACTGTCGTTGTTTATATTTACTGCGGGAAGAAACGGTAAAAACTGCGTTTTATAAGGAAAACGCTCGAAAGCCTGTGAGCAAAAACAAACCCCCCTCTCTCTTTCCTATTCGTCCAAAAATGCACCATGTCGACCAATCAAAAAATGATATGGCAACGTGGCATCTAGTTGTTAAGAAACGGGGGGAAGTTTTAGGAGTGACGGCGGTGTTTTGAGATGTGAGAGATTTGCGACGCAAATCTTGTGTAGTTAGTGTGTAGTCAGTGTGTAGTGTAGTCAGTAGTTTTGTGGTGTGTGTCAGAACAATGAGGTGACTGCTGAGTGTTACAGGTGTTACAGCAGTGATACATCTGCTGCTGTCAGGCCTGTAGGTATCAGGCTGTTGTTCTCCTTCATCTCATAGTGGACAGAAATTATTTTTGGAGCGGCACAAATAATTTGTGTGGCATCAGATTTGATGCAGAACAGCTGATTGTTCTGTAAATAGTTTGAAATGTTTGTTTAAAAATGCACTGGCTGCATTTAAAACTTTGTTGTTTGCCAAACGGAGTTACTTTTTTGAGGAGTAACTATATAATTATTTACCCAACATTGGTCATTATATGCTGTATTTTGCAGACAGAGTTACAGACTCTCTCCCAGACCACAGACTCATAATACAAGAGCTTTATGAAAAAAAGAAAGAAAAAGAAAGTTGTGTTTTCGAAATGGGAGTTCAAGTTATTTTTACTTCCAACAGTGTTAACATGCTACACAGGCCAATGGCTAGATTTTTTTTTTTACATTTTCATTGTAAGTGGGCTAAAGCAGTTTAAAAGTAGTTTAACATAAACGCTGTAATTTGATCATTTTAATAAACCATGTAACTTGGATGGATTAGACCATGACCACAGTGACCACAGTGCACACGTCTGCTGTTGCTCACAGTGGTCCAAGGGATGCTCAGGGAGTTTGTGTGTTCGCTCAGACACATGGAACATTAGAGGGAACATTGCTCATCACTAATTCATTCTTCAGCTCATCACAAACATTATTCAGCAGGGTATCAATG